ATAGAGGAGAGATCAAAATTTAGGCCAAGGCCACTCCAGGCCTAGGAGTGGCTCCGCCATTGCCAGTGGGGTAGGTGGTTGAGACGCCCATCTAAAATGATTCACCCTCATATTGGCCAAAGACGCTGACATATGCGCATCTTTTGCTAATTGAATTTGGTTAAGGCTCCTACATGGACAACACTAAGATTTGCGTTTGTGATGCTGGGTCTATGTCTTGTTGTGATGCTAAGCTTGGCATTCTCTTCCAGTGACTTTGACTCTGTCCTTAGCGAGAGAGATGGCTATGGAATTAGCAGATGGTAGGTGGGTTTGTTCAAAGACAAAGATGGTGAAGAGAGAGAAAGAGGAGAGGATGGGTGGCAGCGACGCTAGGGTGGGGTGGGTTTAGATGGTTGGGGAAAGAGAGACAAAGGGGGCCAAGAAGGGTGGAAGTGCATCGAGGGTCTGGGTACGTGAGGTTTTTATTTTATTTATTTTTAAAAATCATTAAATTACGAATTTACCCTTAATTTATACGAAAATTTTGATGACATTTGAAAAAATTGACAATAAGCTTTCAATTAGCGATCTTTAAACAATTGAAGTCCTTAATTTACTGAAAAATTTGTAAAAAGTTAAATTGACAATATGCAAATAATTCAAGGGACAAAACTGCTGAAAGTTTGTTACACCTCCTTGGCTTGGACTAGCTTGGATAATAATTTATCTCATGTTTGTTGTCAGAGTGCTGTTAAACAAACCCTAAAATTAACTGGATACACCCTACTACCAAACTATTTATTGATTAAAATATTAGGGTTAACTTAGATTATAGGGTGTACTCAGTTAATTTTAGGGTTCGTTTAGCAACACTCTTGTTGTCGTGCGGTTCTAAGCTTAAGTGGGATTGGTGATCCCGGTCCCACCAAAAACACCTCCGTAGGTGTTCTTATTGAAACCCTCGTGGGATGGAGGGACTAATTGTCCCGTGCTCTGGCTAGCGTTTGCAACTCGTAAGACATTGCCCAGCCCAACCCCCACGCCACTGCCTAGTGCACAACCTCTCTATCAGGGACGGATCCACATAGTGGGCTGTCTGGGCTACAACACATACGAATATTTTTTTGTATTTGTAATACCATATAGTATTCTTAAGAAGACAAAAAAACTTAATGGAGATAGCCCATCCCAAAGCTGCAAGAAGAAATAACATAGAGATGGAGCAGACGGAGAGAGCATAAAGAAAAGAAGAAGAGAGGAAGAAGGAAAAAGAAAAAAGAAGGAGGGAGAGGGAGAGAGAGAAAGAGAGGAAAAAAGAATTTTTTTAAAAAAAAGAGAGGGAGAGATTAAAAAAGAGAGAGACGAGAAAATATAATAAAAAAGAGAGAGGGGGGAGATATGTGTTGGGATGAGATGTGTTTTTATTTTGTTAGGTGCACTGACCCACAAAATGGGATATTTTTATTTTATTATTACGTTCTTTTTTTTTTTCTTTGTTTGTTTCCCTTCAATCCCTTCCAAATATTTCAACAATATTATCAATAATTCCAACATTTTCTCTATTTCAAATGTCGTATAATAACAAAAAGTTCTAAATATGATGAAGAAAATATACTGAAAAAAGAGTGCTTATATAAAATAAAAATATAACAAACTAGGGCTTATGATTTAGCCAAAAAAAAAAATTTAGCCACCCATGTGGATTACCTCTAGTTTTTAGTTCCTAAAATCTATTGTCCAAGCCTAAAAATCTACAAAAACCAACCAAAATCCACAAAACTCACCAAATTTTCTTAATACATTTGTACTTTAGGTAAATTTAGCCCATCCGATTTGCAATTCCTGAATCTGTTCCTGCTCTCTATCTCTCTTTTGCTCCCTTCTTTACTCCCACACTCACACCACTACACAATCCAGATTCACATATCCACCATGGCCACTGGATCTTTATCCCAAACAGCCATAGCCCGTTCAAAATTCAAAAAACAAACACCACAACAAAGTCACTGTATCATTGTCCCAATCTTCTCACCACCCCAACAACATCAATGGTATGTTGAGATGGGATGAATTTTAGGGCATAAAAAGATGGGTGAAGAGAAAATGGAGAAGAAGAGGAGATAAAATTTTCAAATAAAAGGGGAAGAGAAGAGAAAATTTTTGAAAAAAAAGAAGAAAAAGAAGAAAAGTAGATAGAAGAAGAAGATGAAAGAGATGCATTGGGAAGAAGAAGAAAGTGAAGCAGAGAGGAAAACAAGGAAAGAGATGTAGAGAGAAAAAAGGTTTAAAAAAATAGTCCTAGTCCAATCAAACATACACCAAACACTGTACGAGTGTTATCCAGCTTATGTCATGCCAAGCTAATTCAAGACGGTACTAACATTCAGTCCAGTTAATGACAATCTGTCGTATCAAACGACCCTATAAGACTTTATCCATTTAAGTAAATTTAAGTTTTAACCACAAAAAAACTTTCACTTTTGGAAAAAGCCAAAGTTTTTAAAAAAAAAAACAGAAAAACCTCTCAACTTTCAAATCAATGACATGCAAATATAAATGATTCCTTAGGAAATCCAAAATAAATAAGGGCAATTTTGTCCGTTTTGACTTTTTTACAAAAATTTCTCTCTTTTTTGGGTTTTTCCAAAGTCTCCCTTATATTTATTCATGCGAAATTCATAAACCATTGTTTGAGACTATTTGTTGCGTTTTTTCCGAGTCAAACCCAGACACATTGTGTGCACTGCACGATGTATACAATAATTTCATAGGGGAATAATTGCCAAAACATAATGGGCTGTAATGCAGTGCTAAGGCATTGGGGTATTTTGGGAATTTCACAAACTGAAAGATTGACATCATCCTAATTATAGAGCTTCCATAACCGGAGAAATCCCAGAAGTACGGCATCCATAGAATGGCGTGTAAATAAGTTAATCTGGGTAAATCCACGTCAGCCCATAATTAGCCCCGTAATAATGAAAGCAGCAGGTCCCCCAGCTAAAAATAATTTTATAATAAGCCTTCAAATTTTCAAATTGGAAAAATACACGTTTTGTTTTTTGGGATGACAACTTTGATGAATGACAAGTTTATGGAAAAACACACAAGCTTTGCTCATTTTTAATAATATTTGTTTTGCCTTTTTCAGTTTTCCCTCCTTTTGCCATGAACATGATGTCGTTTGATTATTTTTCCAAATGAGGATGGAAATTACCAAATTTTGATAGTTCAATGAATCTTATATTCAAATTAAAAGGATAATTGTAGATTTTAAAAATATGTCGATAACGTTTTTTTTTTCCTTTTCTTAATTAAAAAGAAAATGTGGCAAAGGTGATTTAAAGGATTTTTTTTTTTTTGGTTATTTCTGTAATGATGTTGAAAATATTATTTGTGTCAATTCTCTCTACTCACTTCTTTGACTCTTTCTTTTTTTTTATGCTCTGCCCCTGTTTATCTATTTAATTAATACGTTCTTCAATTTTCGTGTTTTTGAATGAATTTAATATAGTTTAAGAAGTCTTTCGATAGTTATGTTTGAGGTTTTATTCAATTTCACACGTAGAAATTTTAAAAGTCAAAAGTCACTTTTGGTCCTTATTAGTTTGCATTTTTTTTTCACTTTTGGTCTATGTAGTTTAAATTTGGTCAATTGTGCCTTTGTAGTTTCATAATTGTAGCAATTTAAGGATAAATAATGAATTCCATCAATTTGTTTCAAGGGGTTAGGGATATTTCTGTCCATTTCTGACATGATCTCATCCTTAGGTTGCCCTCAATCCAAGCCCTCAACAAATTTTCCCCAAATCTTACATCATAAACCCAAGGTTTAGAAGAGCTCTAAATTCAAATTCTCATTTTCGCACCCTAACATGAAATGCGGAGTTTCAGCTTGGCTATGACGTTTAAATGGCATAAATGGACGAAAATACCATTGACCCCTAAAACAAATTAACGGAATTCGTGACTTGACCTTCAATTGCTACAATTATGAAACTACAAGGGCATAATTAACCGAATTGAAACTACGAAGTTCAAAAGTGACTTACGTCCAATTTAAAACTATATATACAAATTCAACAAAGAAAATAACAACCAACATTTCTAATCAAATAAATAGGTGTACACATGACACTAGAAATTCAAGAAGCTATGACAACTCTTCATCAAGAATTTAGGGTTGGTTACCCTATGGAATTGGCTTTGAAGTTTATTTCCTTCCTCATTAGAAAAAAATAAGAAGTCTCAACAATAATCTAACGAAATACAATTATGACCCCCTGAAATTTTTACAAATTAATAGTTTCACAAAAATCATGCTACAAATTTGTTTTCGTAAACACCCACATCTTTTTTTCTTCTTACTTTGCTTTTCAAGAGGTGGGGTTGAACTATATATATATTTTAAACTCCGATCTGACCAAACAAAGAAGATATATATTATTTTATCAATGTCACGCGGATGGATAAAAACTGAAGCAGTGATTGAGTCAAGCAGATAATCAGAATAATAAAGTCTCAAAGGTGACCATAAATGTTTAAATCAATAGAGTAAAAGTAAAAAGAAATAATTAAAAAAACCAAAATAGTGAGAAACAGGCAGGCAGGTAGCGGTAGAGACAATTCGGACAACGATAGTAAAGGAAAAAAAAAAAGTCTAATCCAATTATAATCTTAATCTAATACATTTTTAATTTGTTTTTGTCAAGTTGACCTAATCTAATTTCTAATCTGATAGACAAAGAGTGTTTATCACGCATCGGGTTATAAGTTCGATTCCCCGCTCTCTCAATGTCGCTTGTATCAAAAAATTTCTAATGCAATAGAAGCAAAGAAATAGCTACCAGCCCATACAAAGTCACCCAGAAATAGGGAAATAAAAAATAAAAAAAATCTGTTTTTTATTTTTTATTTTTTCTATTTAAAAAGGGAAAATTTCTCTCATTCAGTCATTCTTTGCTTGCTCCTTTTAACATCACGGGATCCCCATCCCTTCTTTTTCTCTTTCCTTTCTTCTTTCTTTCTTTCTTTTATGTCTTCCATTTCCTCCTCTTCCTCACCTCACTACCACCAACTGAACTCAACTTCTCTACATTTGGGTTTCACTCTCTTCCTTCTCTCTGCTCTGCTCTGCTCTTTCTTCTAACAAAGAGCATTGAAGCAACAGAGAAAGCTTGAAATTAACAAACTCTGTATTTTTCTGTGTGTTTCTGGGAAGCTGAGGCAGTGAAGAAAATGCCCCACGCTACTGGCAAATCAATGCAAGAAATGGGCTTTGATTCTCTCACGAGCCGCTTCCGTGACTCACTGAGTTACAACAGCGACACCAACAATAAGAACAAGCCCGATTTCAAAGAACTCGATCTGGGTTCACCCGTTTCGCCATTGACGACCCGGAGCTCTGTCAATGGTGGCAATGGCGGTGGTGTAGCCGCAACCACTTCAAGCTGTAGTTCAGGTACTTCTTCTGGCTCAGTTTCGAGCAAAACCAGCAATGCCCAGTTGGGCAAAAGATCGGATTCCAAATCCAACAACCACTCCGGCGAACTCTCGGTCTCGTCCGAAACAAGCCCGAGAGCCTCCGAGACGGTCCGATCCGGTACGACGCCGCGTAATTGGAAGCCGGCTCACCGGAGATCGGTTTCTGCTGGACCACCATTGATCTACTCCGGTGGAAGCGTCAATACCAGTATCAGCACTAATGCGAGTACTAATACAGCAACTTCTTCATCATCTTCTACTTCAATTGCCTCAACGACCACTGTGTTTCCAAGTGGCAATATATGCCCATCTGGGAAAATCGTAAAATCTGGATTGGCCTGCAGAGCAAGCAACAAGACTGATGTTTTGGGGTCTGGGTGCGGGAACTATGGTCATGGCAGCATAGTGAGAGGTGGAGGTGTAAAATTAGATTCAAATGTTAATACAAGTGGTGGGAGTAATGCTAATGTACAGTTGGGTGGAGAGTCTGTGATGGGGAAGAGGGCAATGGGGAACTCTGATCCAGAGGAGGTGAAGAAGGCTGGCAATGAGCTTTACAGAAGAGGCCATTTTGGTGAGGCATTGGCATTGTATGATCGTGCTATATCCTTGTCTCCGGAAAACGCTGCCTACCGGAGTAACCGGGCAGCGGCACTGACGGCGCTGGGGAGGCTGCCGGAGGCCGTGAGGGAGTGTGAGGAGGCTGTCAGGTTGGACCCTGGTTATGGAAGGGCGCATCAACGGTTGGGTTCTCTGTATCTTCGGTGAGAACTGTTGAAAACTTGAGACTTCATTAGTCAAAAATTGGCTTTTTCTTTGTTGTTGGTTTTGTTTCTTTGTTGTTTGTATGATTGTGTTTTCTAGGAAATTTAATTAGTTTACATTGCTGGTCCTCTTTGGGTGAATGTGATTGGTCTGTTTAGTTTCCATGTGCTTTGTGCTTAAGTTGTGTTTCTGATTGGTGTTGGTGCATCTGATGTGGGTTGTCTCTATGCGACATTGGTTTAGGCACTTCCAGCTTTTGCTTCAGTTTAATATTATTTGGATTGGCAAGGGATAATTTTTGATATCATTGTTCTCTGTTGCTGGCAGTCTGAGTGGTTTTTAGAACAGCCAATTAGGGGGGTTACTTTCTGAGATATCAATTTTCTCTGTTGGGTTCTTTCTGTTTCCCTGTCCTTACGAGTTCAGATATGTAATATTCTGTTGCCTCATCCTTGGTATTCTAGATTGTCGATTCCTTTGGATTTTGTTTCCATTGTAGAGCTTGCTGCTTGTAATTGAACTGTGTTTTCAGTTTTTTGAGAGAAAACTGTTTTTTTAAGTCTGAAAAGTACAAAGGACATCCATGGGTAATTTAATTACATAGTTCTTAGTTGTAGCCCTCCATTTGCTTCTAGAATTCTTTTAAGTTTTCCCCAGTTTATGTTTATGTTTTGATCCGTTCTCTATGTTGCATGTTACTCTGAACTATTCAAATTCATTCAGTGTCATCTCAGTTAATAACTTGGACACTTTGCAGTTTTGGGCAAGTTGAAAAATCCTACCGTCACCTCTGTATTCCTGGCCAACAGCCGGATCAGTCTGAGTTACAGAAGCTGAAGTCACTCGAGAAACATCTGAAACAATGTGAGGATGCCCGTAAGCTTGGCGATTGGAAAAGCGTGCTTAGGGAATCTGAGGCTGCCATAGCAACTGGAGCAGAGTCCTCTCCTGAGGTAGAACCTAGCTTGAAGTCTCACTTTTTCACATGGACATAGAACCAAAATTTTCAAACCACTTTAACTAATTAGAATAAAATTACAGCTAGTGGCTTGTAAAGCAGAAGCTCTATTGAAGCTACATCAACTCGAAGATGCTGAATCCAGCTTAACAAACATACCAAAGTTTGAAAATTACCCTTCTTCTTGCTTCCCAACCAAATTCTTTGGCATCCTTATTGAAGCTTATGTACTGTATGTGAGAGCCCAGGTTGAGATGGCATTGGGAAGGTAAGCACTGAAGTGGAAACTTAAATTTTTTAGCAGCTAGGGCTTTTAGAGTGAGTTAAAAAGGATATTAGATTTTTTGCAGGTTTGAGAATGCAGTAGTAGCAGCAGAGAAGGCTGGACTGATTGACTGCAGTAATGTTGAAGTTATGAGGGTATCAAATAAAGTGAAGAAGGTTGCAAATGCTCGTTCCCAGGGCAACGATCTTTTTAGCTCGGGAAGATTTGCTGAAGCCTGCTCTGCTTATGGAGAGGGCCTCAAATATGATAGCTCCAACTCTGTTCTCTATTGCAATAGAGCAGTTTGCCGGTCTAAGCTCGGACAATGGGAAGAGTCTGTTGAAGACTGCAATCAAGCCCTCAAGATTCAACCTAATTACACCAAAGCCCTTCTTCGAAGGGCTGTCTCTAATGCAAAGGTAAATTGTTCTTCATATGTGCATGTGGGTGGGCATTCCATTCTTTGAATTCATTTTTTGTTGATTCATATGTGATTTTTTGTTGATTCATATGTGATTTTTGGCGTCTTTTCGCGTGAATTTTATAGCTTGATCGATGGGCAGAGGCAGTAAGAGATTATGAGGTCTTGAGGAGGGAACTTCCTGGAGACAATGAGGTTGCTGAATCTCTTCACAGGGCACAAGTTGCGTTGAAGAAGTCTCATGGGGAGGAACTTCATAATGTGAAGTTTGGTAGTGAAGTGGAAGAAGTTTCTAGTTTGGATAAGTTTAAAGCTGCAATATCATCACCTGGTGAGCTTGATCCATTTTAATTGCTTAATAATTCAATCAATTCCAAGTATCTTGTCTAACTGAAGATTTGACGTTTCAGGTGTTTCTGTTGTTCATTTCAAAGTTGAATCCAATGAGAAATGTGAAGAAATATCCCCATTCATAAATATGCTTTGTGTTCGATATCCATATGTTAATTTTTTTAAGGTACGTAATTTTTTCATTGATCTATACTCACCTCATGTAAAAGAGATCATTCCACCGTGCCCCTACCATTTCAGATCAGATTTATTCAATTCTTGCATTAATTCATTGTACATCTCATAAGATTAGCAGGTTTTTCTGCCTTTTATTTCCCTTTATGATATGAGTCCAATTTTTTTGTGTTGTTTTCAAATTGCATTTGAATAACCAGGATTCATAGTGCTCATAATAGCATCATCTGTATCTATTTTCGAGGATTGACATTTACACGCTTTGTTGTTTGGTTGAAGGTGGATGTGGAGGAGAGCTTATCCATAGCGAAAGCTGAGAGCATAAGAACCATTCCAACATTTAAAATTTACAAGAACGGAGAAAAGGTTAAGGAGATGGTCCTTCCAAGCCATCAGTTCTTAGAGGACTGGGTGAGAACCTGCAGCCTCTAGCAGACATGCCCATTTCTGGTCTGTCCTCATATTTTATGGTAATTCTCCTAGTATTTACCATTAATCATTTCATACTAGGATTACCATTTTTACCTGTGACATAATCAGCAACTTAATTGTTTCAGAATTTAAAGGCAGAGAAATCCTGCAGAGAGAAATAGCTCGTTAGTCCACATTTGGAATTATATACATATATATTTTTTTATTAATTTTCTCTCTAGATTATTCCATGCCTTTGGATTCCATTGGTTGTCCTTTTAAAGTTTTTTGCTTCATAATGCCAGCCTCATATTGTGTCCATGTTCCTGATTTTGAGTAAAGGAGCTGAGAAAAGTGTATAGTTAATTATTATGTCTCTTTGGTTGAGTATTGTGGAGAGAGAAAGAGAGGAGCAGGGGGAGATGTTGGCTGGTAGGTGGCATTGTGTAAGATCATGTTACATACACATTTTTTCAGATATAAACATTTACCTGCTTTTTCTTCTCACAGTGGTTTTTATTTTCCAATTTTGGATGGATGGTTCAATGTATCAGTATCAGTTTTGAGACCAGCAGCATTTATAGATTCATCTCGTATTTAAATATCTGCCCAAATTCATTTTTAGGAATTTTGTACCCAAATTCAAAGACTTGCCGTTTTACTTTTCCTTATTTCATAAAGATGGTATAAAGATGCCACATAAGATGGTATAAAGATATGGTAAAGTACACACGGCTAATTTTGGCTACATTATTATTATAAGACCTCCAAAAAAAAAATTACAAAAAGAGTGACCTAGATCCTCCCGTTGTGTTAGCAATCCTTGGTTTGAACATAGATTTACGTGTAACTTATCTGAAAAAAATCAATAGTAAAGTGCTTAAAAGTTTGGAGTCGTCACATTCTGTATTTATCCGGCTGTTAAGTTGCCTTGAGAAGGAAAGTGCTGCCCAAGCCCCCAAAGTTGACTCAACTTTTCATGACATGGATTATTATTATTATTAATTTAATATTATTGTTATTATTATTTTTGCCAAAGGAAATGGACGGTCGTGTCTTTCAGGTCATCTCCGGTCATAGGACTAAATGTAGTCAATGACTTTAAATTTAGTCCTTTAAAATATTAATTTTTTCAATAAAAGTGTATGGCTAAAGTTTTCCATCTCCAACCATGCATGATTATATTTTAGAGTCCTTCATATTTTATTATTTTGAGAAAAACTAAAGTACAATACTCATACATTCCACAATTATGTATTGTTTAATTTAATTAAACTATTATTAAGAGACAATATTTTATATATGACACGTGTGTGTTGATAAGCATTTAACAAGATTTCTGATAAAATTTTGCGTCCATATGGCACGTCATATTATGAAGGAATCTTAATAATTTTTCGGATATGATTTTCAAGTGACACATGTCGGTCGAGGAGCAACTATCCAGATTTCAGATTAGATTTTTGTCGATGTGGCACCTCTTATCTTCATCTTCAAATGTCAGTAAATTGAATGTTTTCGATTCAATATCTCACAACTTCATCTCCTTTTTTTGTAAATGGAAGGATTGATGATGTCTTCCATAGACTGTGTATTTTTGTGAGACGTGTTCCCAAGTCCAGTCCTTTTTGGGTTAGCACCCACAACGCTATCTTCTGAGACTTATGAAAGCCTTGCAAAGATGTTCATCTTCCACTCGTGACCATTTCGTCCCCTCAAAGTCTTAGACATTTTTCAAACAATGTGAATTTGACAAAAAGAAAGAGTATGGAAAGTTGTGAATAAGTAGAGAATGTGATATAATTTGTAAGAAATGTGGAATGAAATGAGTGAGAAATTTTTGACGTATTTATAGACATATTTTAAGTTTTTCAAAATTTTTAAAAATAATAATAATAAAGTCAAAAAAGGAACTTTTTATTATTTTTATAAAAAAAAAGAATATATAAAAAAAAAAGGCTATGTTTCAATGGTTCTGACCTCCAATGGTCATAACCAATTTTTTAAACAAAACGAATTTAAAACATATAAAAAGGTTTTAAATAATAATATAAAAAAGTAACTTTTCAATCAATAGTTCTGACCTCCAACGATCAAAAACCAATTATATATATATATATATATATATATTAAAAACAAACGAATTTAAAAAAGTTATCTATAAAAAAAAACCTAACAGCTAGTTGACGTCAGCGCGCCCTTTAATATTGGTTGTTGGATATGCAGTTGCACGAGATCTTTCGTGCTCTTACCCACGCATGATACTTTCTCTTCTTGGAAAGCACATGCATTGGGCCCACAAAAAAAAAAATTGGCCTGACCATGGAGGGCTAAAGGGCCAAATGTGGACTTCAAATTTGGCCAAATTTTTTTTAGCCCATGACTGGAGATGGGTTTTACATTATTTTAGGGCTATATTTGGCATATGGCCTATGGTTGGAGATGAGTTTTACATTATTTTAGAGCTATATTTGGCATGTGACCTATGGCCTCATGACCACTATAGGGCTTTTCCCAAAATGGTCTTGTTGTCAATGCCCTAAACCCTGAACAAGTCATCCATTACAGTGTTACATGATGTTACAAATCTAAGACCACTTCCACCCATTTATCATGGCAAATGGCAAGTTAGGCCAGTCAGTTACTATTCACATGAATAGTATCTATCGTAGCAATACTTTTGTTGCTTTTCCACCCATTGCCATGACAACCCAATGGCAATTACTATCCACATGGGGTTAATTTTATTTATATGTATGAGATTAATAATAAAAAATTACTAAGTATGTATAAAAAAAACATTATGTATTTTTTGGTAATTTTTTAGAATTTTTTAGAATTTTTTAAAAATTATATTCTTCGTTGACATTAGCGCCTTCAGACAACAACTCGGGCTGTTCTTGCCTTCGGGCCTACCCAGTCTTGGTGGAGCCCACTATCTGCCGAGTTGAATTTGATAGCTAGAGTTGGTTTCTTTGGCCTAGGAGGCCTTATGCCCTGGCAAGTCTAATCGGTGGACTAGCTCTAAGTGTTTTGATATTTCATAAATCTATGATATAGTATTACTAGATAAAAATGTGTTATAATATGAGTGACACCTTCCATGTGAATACTAATTTGTAATTGTATGGGCTTTTTCGTTCCGGCAGCTACTGATGGGTCTGGGCTGCTGTAAAGAGCAAAATGTGTGAAATTGCCCTTGAGTCTGAGTTCAATGATCAGACCCCAAGAATGCTTCAAAAGGATAGCTGAACCTTAGGAAACACCTTGGTCTCTTTCACCAATGAAACCAATAGTTGCTTATAGATAAATTCTTTGCTTGGCTTGAGAAGTTTATGGCATGGAAGCTAATCACTCATGAGTTTAGCATGAAAGAGAGAGAGTTGTGATTTTCTATGAGAAACATAGATTCAAAGCAAGGGGGAAGGGATTTTAAGAGGATTCGTTGAGGAGAGAGAGGGGGAGAAAGATAAGGGAGGAGAAGTGGGTGGTTTGAGCAATTTTCCGGCAGCCTGTCAGACTCTGGAATGGCTTGCCAGAAGAGAAAATGAGAAGAGATTGAGGAATAGAGCTCGAAATTGAAGGGTTCCAAGGATGAGAGATGAAGCTTGCTCTATGGATGTGGGTTGCTTGCCCTTTTTTGAGTTGTTTTGTTGGGTAAAAGGTGCTTCCCTTTTATAGGCGCTGGAAGCTTCTTTTTCCCGAGAAACCCTAGTTGGTTCTCTCCAATTTTACCAAGTCTTCTCCTCCATTTCTCTTCTCTTCCTTCGATTCAACCTCTTTTTATGAAATCTCTCCCAATCCAAATACACAGAGATAAGATTTTTGGGAGTTTTAGAGTCTTCCCGTAGCTGTCCCTATGGCAATCTCCTATCTTTGGCTACCATATCTCCTTATTTCCTCCCTTATTTCGTGGCAAGAGCTGGTATGAGAAATGAGTGGGTAATGACGCTGGTCTGAAGGGTGTTTTGCTCAAGTATCCTTTGGTTTTTGGATGGCCTGTGTTGGGATTTGTCTTTGGCCATGTGCTAGAGATTCCCAGCAGCCTGCATACATAGGTAACCTTTGGCTTTTGTCGTGGTTTTGGCTGGAGACTTTCAAATATTTTATAGGTCACTTGGGCCATTCTTTAAGGTAATGGGCTAGTTCACTAAGGAGATGGGCCAATTTTCTAAGGTAATGGGCTACCATTTTCTCTCTTTCATGCTTATCCATATATTTGGGCTCAAGAAATGAGCTTGAATTTTGGGGCTCCCAAGCAGCCCAAAACTTCCACTCCTTGGACCATCAATGGGCCTATTGAATACTCGTAACCATCCATGCCACAACCCGCTCAGTAAGCCCCAGACATTCGTGTGACTTGGGCCTACTTAAGCTTGTAGCGTGGCGTGTTGCTTATTTTCTTGGTGTGACACGTGTGCATGCGTATATGACGAACTCTTGCATACCTAAGTTAGTTGTCTACTCGGTTAGAAATATATTTGGGCATAACCTTGGATTTTTTGAACCTCAACAGTAATATTGAGAACTAATAACACTAGATAATCATTTGACAAGGAAGGGGTTACAGTTGCTCCACCAATAGTAACAGCACATGATCATTTGACAAGGAGGTGGTTACAATTGCTCCACCAATAGTAAAGGCACATGATCATTTGACAGTCACACCGAAAAATTTCTTGACATGTTAAATGCCATATTTAACGCTGGATAGTGGTCACATAGGTGGAATATGATCTATTTTAACGCTAAAGAGAAAAGTGACACAATTCAAATTTTGGGAATGTTAAAATCCAAATATTGAATTGAGTAGGGAGAGGCTTAGCTCAGTTTGTAAGCATGTAATGGTCAAGGAAGGCCCATAGCATGTGCGGGCTGCTCGAACGGACAGAACCTCCTAAAATTAGGGGCCTCCAAAACCTTTAAGCCCAGCTACAAAATAAATTTTTTTTTTTCAAAAAAGGCCCCCGGCAGCATATTGAGCTTTCACCCCCTTCAAATGAAAATGGGCCTGTTTGCATCTAAATTAACTTTTATTTTTAATTATAAAAATAAAAGTTAATTAACCTCTGGTCTTTTCCAAAATGTCCCTATTATTGTACCCTTTTTTTTTTCTTCCCAAACGTGTTCGGCTTCCCAACATGTTCTTCATGACTCTTCTCCTTTCTCCCTCTCAGTCTCCCAAGTCTCAATCTCTCTCTTTCAAATTTCTTTTCCAATTTCGCCAAAGGTATTGTGGTTATGCTATCCAAGTTAGATGTCGTATATTAGATTTGGATTTCAAAGGCATGATTGCAAGAAACCTAGAAAATCAGGTGAATCCCAAAATTTTCAACTTTATTACCAATTCTCAATGAATTTGATACTTTAAATCATAATGTTCCGTTTAAGCCTTCAGGATTCATTAATTTGGGATTAATAATTTGTTCTGCATATCTATTTGCACACGCTCACGTGTGCGTTAATTTGCTTTTATTTTTATATTTATAATTGTGTTTTAATTTTTTTTCTTCTCAATTTTAAATTAATAGATTAATTTAGGCCAAATTAAACCTCGAAAGTGCGCA